TTGTGTGTGTGTGTGTGTGTGTGTGTGTGTGTGTGTGTGTGTGTGTGTGTACGTGTGAAGTTAGGAGGAGGTGTGAATTTGTGTGCACGTGTGTTTTGGCTTGGGTGTTGGTGTCAGTATGTACCTGCAGACGTGTTAATGTTTATGCATCCAGGCAACACAATTCCTCAGCCCGCAAGTGTTTCAGTGTGTGAGTAAAAACCCAGACATAAGAAGTCAGTTTACCAATATACCCAGGACATTAAGGAAAACGCCAGCGAAACTCACATTATTGCAATCCAGAAACTTCTTTGTCGATTACGATAAGAACTAAGATTCTAAGAGCTTGATTCTGCGCATTTATGAGACCCATAAAACATCGGACCATAAAACATCGGCTTTAGAAGCAACATTCCCCAGTCAGTGTTAATAAATACATAGTAGGATAGGTAGTGACATCACCGATTTTACTTTTTAGCGCAAAAGCGCTCTTGATAGGAAACTTATCGAGATGTGTATAATGTAAAAGATAGTAATTATGATACTAATATCATTGCATAGAGTAAAGTCATGCTGAAAAGTAAGCTAATTACGCATTGCAATCTACATTATTATTACCTAGCAGACCCGATAGTACTGGGAAACAATCTCAACTTCCTGGAAAGGATACAGTGCACGCTGCACTATTACACGCGCTAATATACTGACATACTGTCAAGATCTTTGGCTGGCTATGGCTGGCACTCATTCACATGAAGTAGCCAATGTGCCACAACAATTGACCTTGGTATTAGTGCTATCCTGATTTAAATCTTACTTTTAGTCAAAATGGTAGGCACTGTCACCTCCCAGTGCTATACTTCTCTACTTCAGGTATCATGTTGTGATGACTGGTAAGCGAGGTGTTTTGCCCAAAAGTTGAAAGGCCTAAAATCATTTATTCGAAACTTGTCTTTGGTTTCGTCTCGGTAAGATAAAATAAATAGTTCAATTTTTGAAAACCCACCGCACCAATCTAGATAAGTTATTACCCACATAATATAATTAATTTTTGCTGCTGCATTTCTTAACCCGGTTGTGATTTTTCTGTTCGTCTTGAAGTAATCTTTAATGTTTTCTTCATAATTCGGCCATCTTTATAGCGAATAGCACGTTACCTCCCCTTCTGTTGGTTGTCTAATCTCAGGTGTAACAATATTGGTGTGGATCCTGTCGTCACTTCCAATAGGCGTGCAGGAGCACTGACCATAATAGTCTCAAGCTTGACCGGTCGACAACAGCGGTGTATTATCTCAGTGGTTGCGCCAAAGAGCAGAATTCTGACATCATGCCAAGTGCGTGTAATGGGAGACAGGTGTGAAAAGCACGCACGGATGAGTGCTGAGGGATATGAGGTTAAAGTAAGAGGCACATTGCGTAACTTGGGTTGAAAGAGAGATGGGATTGGAAAAGTCGCTCCAATAATTAAAAAATGTTGACGCTCTGAGAGCGTACTCTTCATGTGGTTCTAGTTAGGTGAGTGTGAAAGAGAAAGCGGGTGTGTAAACGAGTGTAAGTATAATTATATTTGTATGCATGTTTGTGTGTGTGTGTGTGTGTGTGTGTGTGTG